TGGAGAGACATTCCTATTTACAAGCTAGAAATTCTCTCCTCAGGTATGTGTGAAATGTGCTGTTTGTGGGGCAGATTAACCCAAGATGCTACTTTTCTCTGCTTTACCACTCCATCTCCTGCCCTTTAAGAATTTCACAGCTGACAGGAGCAGGTCCTTCAGGCAGATACAGCTGACATTTTTGACATATACCCATTTTTTACTTACCCTTCCTCTGGCTACAGTCCTGAGGGTGACTAACCTAAGTATTTCCCCTTTCCTCCCCACATGCCCATATGGACTTGTGAGCTGCTGAAACTCTCTGGATATGAAGACAAAAAAGTGACCTTTCATTCTGCTTTAGATCCTGGTTTCAACAATACTCATGGGTACCTAAAGAAGATATGTCCTAAATTTTAAGTTTCTAGTTCATTGGAAATGTAAAAATGAACTGTACCAGTTTCAGAGTGATGTTACACAACACTGTACATAGCAGATACTCTTTTGGAGCCTCAGCTGAACCCCCTTCTCTGCTCTACACAGCCTCAGACAGAGGATAAAATCTGACTCTGACACAGCCATGGCAGCAAGTCCTGGAGAAAGCAGGAGGGGCACACTGCTCTGGAGGGTGTGCTCTGTACCTTCAGATGACATGGCATTATTGGGGTTCAAAGGCAAAACAGAAGCTACAGCTACTCATAGATCTGCTCCTGCTTCAAGTGTCCCACTGTGTTTGCAGGCAGTTATATTTTAAATTGCTGCAGAGAACACAGGCAAACCCCCACCAGACTGTTTATAACCGAACACTTAAAGCAGGAAGTTTACATGACAGCAGTGTTGATTTTTTTCAATTACATTTTTCCTTACTGCTTGTTATTTTTAATGACTGCTGGTCAACCGAATACTACGGTTTTGTGTTTATTCTTACGACACCCTCAGTGTGAAAGCTGTTGTGCAGTGAGCACACTCTGAGATCTGAGCAGCTCTGCAGAGAGATGCAGCTGTGGCCGTACTGAGAACCTGCACACCATCTTCCTAATCTCAAAATTTCAGACTCGAAGGTCAAGTCACAGTCGGTGCTTGCTCAGGACAGAGTTCACTCAATCAGATTACCCTTCATAATCCTACAGATGCTTCACTTTAAGTCGTCTTTGACAGTCTGGCTGTCATTGTAAAACTTTGGGGACTGCATTCTCTACTGTAATATTGCTTCTGCTTTGTGAGATGCCTTCACTCAATACAGATATTTCCTTGGAGCCTAACCTTTATGACTATGTTTGGAGATAGTGTCCTTTTGATAAAAGCATGCAGTCTCTGGAACAAACAGGTCTTTTGTAAAGTTTCACCATTTTGATCCTGAATGGAGTTTCTCCCTCCTCATTTTCCCTTGGGAGATTTTCTTCTAAATGGACATAAAGCCACTCTAGTCTGAAACATAGCTTATTATCCTGGGAATAAAAGAAACATATTTCTTAACTCCAAAACATGTCTCTAAATACACGGTTGAACAGGCTAAAGCTTACTGTTAGCTCTCAGAAGAAAATGTTCTTCTGTTTATGAGAACAAAATTTTGTATCTATCTGTGAAGGAATACAGAATATTTTAGCATTAAGGGACAAGAAGTGTGGGGAGCTTATGAATTTTGCATGACATAAGTGTTGCTATCTGTATGCCTGAGAGGCCACTAGATGATTAAATTGGATATAGTTTTGTTGTGCAAGGAAGGATATAGATCCACATGCTCAGTGGTTATAGAACTATAGGGCAAGTGAACAAACAGATGGCAACTTAGAGAACAACTATTAATCCCTCTGCTTCCCCTTACTCTACAGCTGAAGAGAGTTAAGCAGGGTTTCCACCTCTAGAACAAAATACAAGGCCCATCACAAAATTTTCTGAATGGGGAATAAAGACAGATGTGCCTGCAGAGTGAAATTTGGCACAGAACAGGTTACTCAGGCAGAGTAGGAGCTGAGGTGCCCTCTTTTCTCTACCTTACATCTACAGCTGGGAAAGGTTGGGCACCAGCCAGCTCTGAAAAGAGAAATCCTTCATACGATGGGTTACAGATCTTGGAAACATAGGAACATACAGATTTAGCATCTGTACTAAAGGCCTATGGAATACTCAAGGTCACTGACTCACATGTCTACATCGCTGGAGGAAGGTACAGAACATTCCAGAACAACCTGGAGTCTCTGAAGAAAATCCTCAGATGTGTATTTGTCTTCAGATAAGCCTGAACTTCTGGAAGAGAGGCATACCCTGGTCTGAACTGGTTGAAAAAAAGTATCAAAGGAAGAGAACTGCACAGACTGACCAGCCTGATACAGGAAAAGAGGTCACTCTTATTTAACCCAAGCACTAACAGAGCCATGTGCACGGCTTCTGGAGCAGAGAACTGACAAGCTTTGCTGAACGGTCTGGCCAAGAGCCCAAAAGTAGCAAACTCGGTGCGTGTATAGACTGTTCAGTGGTTTACAGTCTGTTTATTTTTGCCATGACTTTTATTCTTGGATAAGTTCTATTTAAGCCTCTGAAATCCAGGGTCACTGGCAAATGCTGCTGTTGTCCCTGAGACCATGAAATGACAGGTGCCACACAGTCCCAGTGACTACGTGAACACCCTCCCGGGAGGGAGGAATCACATCACTCACAATCAGGAGATGGGAGGGTTGATCTTTAAAGATGTGCTCCTAGGAGGCCAAAAACGGAGAGGAATGGAAATGCAGCTGGCTGAGGCAGCCCATGCCAATCCTCTGTGTGGCAGTTTGTCCATCAGTTCTCTGACATCAGACAGGTAGAGAGTCTTGGCTTCCCTCGCTGGAAGAAAGCTCTTCAAACCCAGCTGCAATTGTGCATCAGCACGTGGAAATGTGCTCAGATGTCACTGCCTCTCAGCTGAGGAGACTTTCTAGACTCCACACATAGCACCACTGAATTGACTTTTTAAACTGCAACAAACTGCTAGATTTGAAATATGCAAATCCAGATTTATCTCTCCCCTCAATGGTATGCTATCAGCAAACACAGTTGGCTAAAAAAAAGACAACTCTCCACTCCCTTGAGCAAGTTGGATGGATGGATTTAAGTACCACATATATGTGTGAAAACTTTTAACTACTTTATGAGAAGATAACAAAGCAAGCAGGGGAGATGGAAGGAAAAGCCTAAAACCAATAATTGTTCAGCTCTATCAACCTAGGACCCACCATTATTGACTTTATCTGCAGAAATTTAAGCCACTGCTTTCCAGTATGCAATTACAAAACCTCTAAAAATTGTTAACAGAAGATATTTTTAGCATCAGAAGCACCAGTGTGTACCGTAGAGTTTGGGGAAGCCTGGAGGCCCCAGTAGCAAATTTTTACTTACTCAGATGCTAATCACATTGATAGAAAGCTGAATCATGCATTTAATAAAATTACAACTTCACTGAACTTGAATTTAGAATAGTTGCAGAAGAAAAGAGTCACCAGTTTTTTCTATATGGTTTGCTTTGTATATAAGCTTTCATTTCAGGCACTGGAAAGGTTTGATCAATTTTTTCTCTCGCACTACAGAAGAGAAAGAACAAACATAAATGGAGTTAGATCAAACAAAAGGCCTGTTTCTCAGCAGAGACTGGGCCCTCATTTAAGCTTGGCTCAGGAGTGCTCTCCTGCAGCATTTTCAGAAGAGTGGGCCGTGGGTAGGTGTTTTGCATCTTTTGCAAAAGAAGAGATGTTCCTTACATTTTACAGTATGAGTTTCCCTAAAGAGAGCACTCATCATATTGCCTAAAAATACAGTGTAAAATGCAGTGCTGTGTATTAATATCACAACCATACCAGTTGTCAGAGTTACAGACCAGCATCACCTTGTGCTGTGTTCTCTTGAGCACTTCTTTCCTTTCTCTGTAAGTAGCAGCTCTGGCACCTGGCTGTCCCCACAGACTGACCCTCAGTGATACACCTCAAGGCTCGACAGGAACTGAATATTTTGAGAAGGAACTGAGTAAATATATTTTTTATATTTCCCAGGGTTTATTACAGTGAGGTCAGTTTGTTGGTAGTTTACAATATAACATTTCTAAGAGATATGCTAATGCTTCATGAAATTTAAATATTACTTTTGATCTATTCCATAATACAAACCCACAGCTAAATTTATGAAGTGGCAAATAATCAGAGGGTTTTTCAGGCCTAATGTAAGTGAATTCCCACATGCCTAGAATAATCAAGCAGCATAGATTTGGTTCCACACCAACACCACCTTTGCTGTGAGCCCAGGCAGAAGGGAACTATGCTGTGTCTGCTCCCAATGATTTGTATCTGTTACTACACCTCTTCAAGCACATTGCACAGCACAACCAGTGGCACAGGCATTCTGGGTAGCATTCTGGGATGGTCACAGGGTATGGCCACTCCTCTGGGGCAAACGAAACATTGGGAAGGCCATGCAAGAACAAAACAGTCACCGCAAACACATCTTCCCCCATAAAGGTGTTTAAACTCTATCACCTGCAATTTGAGCCTGTTAACAGCACTGGCTGTGCAGAAGGAAGGGCTTTATGTACCAAAAAGTGCTAATGTGTCATTTGGACTACCAGCTGAATTTTTCAGTAGCAGTAGTTTCTTTCGGGAATTCTTTAAGATGATTCTATGATACTTCAGTGGCTTTTTATCTCTTGTTTCATGTTCCACTTAACAAACTACACCTGTCTTGCAATCCCTACAAGCAGCCTTGATGCTAATAATGTTACTCTGGCTGCTGAGGTTTTAGGTTCTCAACCTACTTAAAAATAATTCATTATTAACATCTGGGAAAAAAATATCACAGAGACATTTTGTGGTAGGTTACACGTTAAGTGCTGCCACCAACTATGAGCATCACTATGGCATTTCAATTTTACTAGATAAGTGGCCAGCTGTTGGGACTCACATCTCAATGGACACTTAATTAATTTCTAGAAATAGACAGTTCTGGGAATATTAATGATGCCTGTCACAGGGAGATTACAATTTCTGAAAAGCATATACCTGTTCCAAAATGGTGTTGATTCTGTCTACTTCACAGTCAATTAAGTATCTTTTTTCTTGTCGTCTGTCCATCTCCTCTATAATTCTTCTGAACTCTTGAACATCCTTTATGCTTCCTACAGATCTGGCTGTCACTTGCCAGTTGTTCTGTACTGCTGCTTCCATAATCGCCTGAAGAATAGAAAATCCTGTGGGGGAAGAGACAACGCAACCACTTAAAAAGAGAACAAACACAAAACCTATTTTGAATGTTTTAAAAAGGGTTCACAAAAACTTGCATCATCTAAAGGGACACAGAACAGTTGAGAGCCTGGAAGTGCTTCATTACTTGAGAAAGCAACAGTGCAGGGACCAGTTTCTTCTTCCAGCGATGCCACCGGCAAAGTCACTGACTTCAGCAGGACTGCTTGGTGGTACATTACTGCAAGGCGTATCAGAATCTGTCCAATATATCATATTATGATCCTCTCAGGGATGTTTATGGTCGTGCTGGGGTCTGTGCCAGCTGAGAATAGGAGCCTGCAGCCATTACTTGGGCAAAAGTCCATCAGACTGAGGAGCGGGCCAGAGGAGGTGATTTGCAGACTGCAGCAATGGGTCATTAACTGGCAGAGATCCAAGCACTGCACAAGAATGCCAATTAAGTCATTGCACTGGTCATTGGAGCCACAACCACAGGAGAATATTTTACTGATACTCATTTTGATTTCAAAAAATGCTTTTAAATACGGAGTCTAACAGCACTAACCACACTTTCAATGCTTTCATTAAGGTAATATCTACTCATTTAGCATCCTCAAGAGGAGAGAAGCAGCACAGGATGACCAAAGACTGCGCAGTGGGAAATTATACAGGCAAGCAGCACTTCATTTCTTGTGAAGAGCTGTGCCTCAGCAACAGGCAGAACTCAAGTCAAGTCCCTAAGTGAAAAGCGGTGGAACTGGGAATGGAATCTCCTTCAAGTCATGCTATGTAGGAGTTACCACACATTGATATGCAACCCTTTATTATTGTATATAGATGGGAATTTGGTTTGATTCACCTGTTTTGATTCATGAAATTTAACTTCTGCATAGTTCTAACAATTTAAATTATGAGCAGGTGCCAATCAAAGAGAGAGGTCACCTACTTCAAGCACACAGTGATTTTCAGTGGAGTTTTATTGTACAGAAGCACATCCATGTGACCTCTATTTCTGTCCAGATAATTTATTTCCAAAATTTCCAGTCCAATTATTTAGTCATACAGTGGATTTCTTACCCAGAGCCAGATTTGAAAAGCTTACACACAGGCACATAAACACAGAGGATCAACAACTCATTAATTGTGCTCTGTGATAACCAGTTCCCTACGCTTCTGAACCTGAAAGGAGTTTGAGCTACAGAGGAGCAACACATTCACACTGCTGCAAATGACACCACGAGCTATTCTGAACTCAGACATCCTTGTCGGGGCACGGCAATAACAAAGAACTTGTGCTGCCGCCTGATCTCCTGTAGCCTGCTGTAAATCTGTAGTGGCTGTCTGAAGCCAGAGGAGCTGCATCATTACCTCATTACAGACACAAACAAGGAAAGAGTGATTTTCTGGATTGCAATTAGATTATTATAATTCACCACGTGACTTCCTTAATCTCACTCAAATGCCCTCACTTTAGCTGTGCAGCCTCCTTGATTCTAAATGCTTTCCTTTGTATGAATGCACTTTACTATCCCATGAAAGGTGGTGACAATTAATATGTACGCTCATTTAGAATTCTTTCTGGCATCTTCTTTCCTTTGAGACTATTGAAAGAGAGGCATTTACATATGTATAGTACAATGAACTCAGTCTTTCTTAACATCATATTTTACAAAACTGGTTGTGATGTCTGTGACAGCATTGTGATTCCACCACATGTAGGAGGAAGATCTAAGCCTAAGATACTTTGTTGGCTGCAAACGAGGAATTTTGATGTGGGAACATAAAAATCACTAATGGGGATTTACAAATGCTTTGTGTACAAAGATGTGCTTTAAAAAAAATATGACTCCACTAAGTAATAAATATTTACAACTTTGTTTCATCATTCATATAATGTCTAAGCATGAACCTTGAGCTTGCTGTAAACAACAGTCTGTAAGTCCAATTTTTTTTTTACTCCCAATTGAGCAAATTGGTTCAACATATTATTAGAAAATGACACTTAAGCTCTATTTTTTTCGCTATGACATATACAAAACTCATGAACTGTCTCAAGGAAAGAAGGAAAATGAACGTGCCAGAGTGCAGGTGCTATCGGTTGACTCCATGCTCCCTGTTTCAGATAACTGAGTCAGAACTCATTTTGTCAAACCTTGAATACCTCAGAATAAAGCTGGGCAATTTTCCTAATTTTGTGCAATTACATGTTTATGTGGGTGTGAGTGCGTGTGTATTTTTGTATGTGTGTGTATTAGTCAGTGGTTACCATTTCAAGAGAGAGAAGAGAGATGTTACTCAGCAGCCTTTCTCCTATGCACAAAAATTCAATTACAGTAAGCTTAGTGTGAAAAGTTCCAGAGCTTCCTAATTTCTGTGTTCTCCACCTCCTCTTTCTTGTCACATCAAGTCTTTACAGTCGCAGTCCCCTCTACCCTTGCCAGTTCTTGAAATTCTCCCTGTGGTCCCTGCTTGTGCTGTACCATGTCTCAGGCCCTCTCCCTCTCCCATCCTTGCTGTGATAAGAACCATTTGCCTTTCCTGTGGCAGCTGGTTAGGCCAGTCCTCTGATGACCTTTAGAGAGCCCATTCCCCTTGCTTTACAAAAGCCTGGTTCCATCCTCCTGCTTTCAGGGAGGCAGCACTCCCATCCTCGCTGTTCCCAGCCTCCGGTCTCTCCGTGTGCCCACTGCCTTCAGCGCCATTTACTGCACTTTACATCGTTACCCATTACGTGTGATTTCTGTAAACAACATGTTCCAGGCTCCAGCTGTACTTTACCATTAAAAGAGCTGTTACATAAGCGGTGTGATTGTTTAAATAAAAGGACCATTTTATCTTCAAATGTGAACTTTCCTTTCTCCTTAGCATAACAATGCAAGCTGTGCCAGTTCAGGGAGTACTGCCTGGGTAATGAACGGGGAAATTATTTTCCCTGTTCTGCACATGCTGGTGACCAGGCATGTACACTGCACTTTTCCACACCCTGCCCTCAGTGCACATACCCTGTGAATGCTTCACAAGAGATGCTCTCCCCTGGAGGTGTGGAACTCTTATGGGTACCTCTCATCTTATCCCCCCTAAAGGAGACCAGCCAGCCATGGCAACTATCTCCAGCCTGTAGTTCTTCTTTGGTGTGCATCAGATCTACTTTGAAAGACTAAGAATTGATAACTCATCACAGGTCTATGAAGAAGTCACGCAGGAAGGGATTTCATTGATACTGTTGCCAGTTTATACTACTTCAATCAGTAAAGCCAAAAAATGTTAGTTAAGAAAAGAAAAACTGTTACCCTCCTAGAAGATGACAGCAATGAGATCACCTCAAAACCAGTTCATAATAACATCACTAAAATCCAGAGTTGCTCATCCTGTAATCACTAACACCAATACAGACAACAGAAAAGATTTATTTAGACTCCAATCTGATCCTTCAACCTCTTTTTTTTAGTCATACCTTGGATGTGAAAAAGCAGTAGGATGACAGGCATGCATTTTCGTGAAAGCACTGCTTCTGAGGCTGGCTCATTTACTGGCACCACATCCCTTCACCACACTGTATCTTCCTACTTCTGCCAGGGAAGCAAAGCCTGTACCTCAGTTTTTCTACTCATTCCTTTGATACCAGCATCTCTCAGCTGACCCTACTAACATAGGTGAAGAGAACATTTCACTCTTTTGCATCTCTGAAAGTTCACGAAACTTCTCCCACATCCATGAAGGCAAAATTCACCTCAGCAATTTGCTCAGCCACATGAAATTCTATGTACTACATCACTGAACTCACTGTAGTTTAAATAACAGCAGTCATTAATGTGACATGACTAAGTGACCACACTGGAACATCTGTAGTGTCACATGAGCCCTCACAGTTGGCACCAAAGTACTTACTGAGAAAAAATTACCACTTATGTAAATCACTCTTTTCCTGAATGTCCTTGCTAAGATCTTGGACCGTGGCCTCCCACAGAAATGAAAGAGCACTTGCTTGCAGTCCCTCTTCCTTTTGCCTTGCTGAGTACCAAAGATCTGTGAGGGGTGTCTTTTCCTGACATGCAGCACGTTTGTGCCAAGTGAATGAACATCAGCTCTGATCTGAACACTCGTGTTTTGAGCTATGTATCCGGGACACGATACAAAGATCTACGCTTCTGTGGCCCACGAGTGAACTTCAGGGATGTGGAGCTGTGTTTGACAAGGGCACAATGAACTCACCAAAAAAGGAGGCCATCCAGGCAAATGATTCCCCAAGACAAATACAAATTCTATGACACCAGCTTTCTTTCAAGTGTACTAGAGGTCTGTAAGTTGAGATATACTTGGATATTCTGTGTGTTTGGCACAGAGCCTGGCACTAATTTGAAAGTGAACAGATCAACACATGAGTAAAGAAACAACCAGCCAACCCAAACCCCTCCCCACCATTCAAAATGCAGACATGTCCATGAGGCAAACATGTTTCCCATAATCTACGTTTGCTTAACAACTCCATAGTAGGGGAAGAAACAAGGAACAAGCTGCTGACCGAGTCACCAGGAAGGGATGCAGCAAATCACAAGTACCCTGGAGTGCTCTTTCAGTCTCACACACCTAAGCTCAAATTATTAAATAAAAGTAGAATAAGTGTATTCCATCCGGTTTTGACCTGATCACTTCTAGTTGGTAACCAACATGTAAATTTTTACACTCCACTACTCTGGTAGCAGACAAGTAGCAAACACATTTCTACACCAAGTAGCAAACACACTCTAAAGCTATTTTTTTTTTCCTTCTGCTTTTTCTGTTCTGTAAACCTCTAGTTTCCCCTGTACATACATTACAGTATTGCAACCTGTCATCCATAAACAGAGAAATATACACAAATAGATATGTCAGCTTGGTTGAGTGAACGTGAACTTGCCTGGTTCTAAAGGAGAATTTACAGGAACCATCTGGTTTGTATTTGCTCAGGATGGGATACAGCTAAACCTGCAGGAATTCAGAGCTGCTGAATTCAAGTAAAATACCT